TCACTTTCCTTTAAAGCATGGACTGAATGGATTTTATAAGGATGAACACCCATTTTTTTATTCATTATGCCATGTAGTGTTGACCTAGGGATATCCAAAGCAGCGGAATGCTTCCGTATAGAACGCCGAGGATTTGCAATGACCTTGTCACTTACTCGACGCACATTTTCTTCGGTTGATACAGTAGGTGTGGAGCCAGGAATGGGTTGACCAAGAGTAGAGCCTGTGTCACGGAATCTCTGAATCCACCTTTTCAATAGGTTCCTTACTTGGGGCATCTCTTGGTCGGCGAATGTTGTATCGTGTACAAAATTTCCGAAGGGCACCTGCGTATGAATCACTATTCTTAAAGTAAGCCTCGACAGCAAGAGCACGTTGCTATACGGTCCAACATTCCATTGTAACTATTTAACCCGCACGAAATTCGACAGAGTTGGAATGGGAGGTAGGAGCCTAGCAAGTTTGTCAGGTCAGCTCAATGCATGGCGGCATAATGGAGGAGAGCACTTAAAAGAGAGCAAGACCGCTGAACGGCAGGAATTTGAAAAAACATATTTGCAATACACGATTTACGTTTCCCAAAAATTGCTGAAAGAAGAATACTTACACTGTCTATTTAACAACGCCTGTCTTTTTCTTTTCAACCGTTCTATGATGGTCATATTTACTGAGGTTTTCTGAAAAAAATTTCATGTGAGAAATGTTCTTCTTGCAATGATATGATATCAAATTAGACACTTATTTACCTCATTCACAATATTAATATAGTCGTTATCAATTAATTAGAATAAGTGCCAAAACTGAGCAAAAGTACGATTCAAACATGAACTATTTTGATGGAACTCCATGCTTCTCAAGTCAAATGGAACCATATGTGCTTATTGAAATTAATCACTACTAAACATTTTAGCTACCGCGGTATACAATAATTCCAATATATGTGATTTCATTTGGCCAAAGAAATATGAAGATTTATCTGCATGAAAATCACAGGATAAGTTTCAGATATTTCGTTATTTACTATTTTTTCCACATTTTTTTTCAAACTAAATGAAAAGATTTAAGGGGTTCTTACTGACTTTGGTTCCGATGCCAGAACTATTACCATGTCCCATCACCGAGTTATCACTCTTAACCCTGGAATAAAATCAATTGCAAGATTAATATGCTTCTATTTTGAAGAATGTCAGTGGTGATTGATGATAATTATAAACGTCCAATAAAATCTGGTATATTTAAAAAAGTGAATCCTTCGAAATGTGAGATTTATTGGTCAGGAGACGACATAAGCAGCTTTGGGGTTTATACGGATCATTGCTAAAACATGTTCTTTGTTTTCCGTTGACATTAACAAGTTGATATAATACTATTCATCAAGGTGCCAATGGCAATCAATAAATTTTGAATTCGTCACGATACAGTACTACAACATAATCCGGCATGTTCCAGTAGTACCAGTGTTTCAGATAATTTCGCAGACATACTACTTACTAAATGATAGAACACTTACGATTGTCCTTTTTGTTGTTCCCCATTACTCTGATTTCCCTCATCGTCTTCATCTTCTGAAGAACTCACGTCGCTCCTCTTCCTCCCGTAGTACCTCGGCAGTACCTTCGGTGGTTCATCCACCTCCATCTTATTATCTTCTTGTTGTGTCTGCCTGGATTTGTTGGGCGATTCTTTTACAGGCGAAGAGCTATAAGATTTTCTTTTAAGAGGGCTTGTAGCTCTCGACGATGAGCTAGAAGAACTACTAGAATCACTGGAGCTACGAGGTTGACGATTGTAGTTACGATTAGTGCTGCCTCGAGAAGATTTGGAATGTAATTTTCTGCAAAAAAAAAATCGTTTTGTGACATCTTAGTGGCTCCCGGTCATTTTTGAAAATGTTTTCAGGCTTAAAAAATTGGTGGGTGGAGGGCTGTAGGAGGGTGGAGGGCTGTAGGAGGGTGGGGGAGCATATATAACATTTTTTAATATTAAAATATAATTATACACTGCACACCTACTAAAAGTGTTTCACACCTTATAGATTTGCTCGTACATTTGCCCTTTAAAAAAGTTCTTGCTCTTTTTATTTCCGGTGTCAAAAATAGGAGTTTTTATTTAAGAAAACATTCTACACCTTCAAATGAACTTGTAGAATAAGTCAAAGTTACGTTCAAGGTCACCATTAGATGAATCTTTTCAAAACCTTACAACTTTATCACACATCTTTCCTTATGTAACGTATTTTTCGAAATATTTTGTCTTTTCCTTACTTTCTGTATACACTTAAATATCAACTGATTATAGTCAAGGTCATGAACAAAGACAAAGTTTAACGTATAAGTTCCAGCTATTTACATTTCCGGTATCCAAAATAGCGGTTTTATCTAATAAACCTGTCTTTGCCTTCAAATGAACTTGAATGTCATAGTGAAGGTCACGTTCAATGTAACCGTTAGATAAATCTTTTCAAGTCTTACAACTTTGTTCTACATTTTTCTCGAGGTAACGTATCATGGAGGAGAGCTCTGACGAGCAAGGCTTCTTGCTGTAGCGGTAGAAGGGAGCTAGATCGCCGACGGCCTGCCGGTGCGAAAGGGTCCCGAGACTGTCTGTTAGAGAAGAATCATCGAACAGCCCTCCTCTGGACACCATCGAGCATAAATAATGTAGTCGAGGCGGCAGCACCCCAAACGAGTGAGCAATACTCGAGGCTAGACCTTATCTAGGCCTGTACAGAGTGAGGTCATGCGGAAAAAAGTACTTCTTAGCCCTAAACAAATAGCTTAGCATTTCCCAACAGCTGCCGCTATTGACGGGCTGTGTTCGTGCCAGATCAAGTCCTCGGTGTTCTGGACTCCGACCAACCGAAATAAACGGCTCTTTGGCAGAACTCGGCCATCCATCGAAACCGGATGAGCGCTAGGACGCTTTTTGTTCGTCAAGGTACAGTACTGTGTTTTGGAAGCATTAACATGTACACGATTGTTCCGTCCCCAACCGGTGATAACCTCCAGGTCTCTTGTCAGAGAGGAAGTCGCCGCTAGTCTTCTAGGAGGTCGTTGATATGTAAGAGGGACAGTGTCGAAGCCAAGACCGATCCCTGGGGTACCCCGCGTTGACGTTGTGAGATGAAGAGCACAACCCGGCAATTACAACGGATATCTTGCGGCCAGAGACGAAGTCAGCCACCCATCTGCAAAGTTTCTCCGGGAGGCCATAGGATGGAAGAGGGCAGCGTGCCACAGCTGATCGAAGGTTTTCGTGATATCAAGAGCAACAACATGCGCCTCACCATACGATTGGACGAGTTTATTCCACAATTGCGTGAAGTAAGCTAGCAGGTCCCCTGTGGATCGCTGGTGCCGGAAACCATACTGCCGTCGCTAATCAAGCTGTGCCGTTCGAGGTAGTCCAGAAGCTCGCGATTTATGCTTCTCTCCATCACTTTACTTATAACAGAAAGCAGGGCTATAGGTCTGTAGTTGTAAGGGTCGTTCTTAGATCCTTTTTGGGGGATGGGTTGGACATAAGAAAATTTCCAGTTTTCTATGAAGGTGTCGGATTTATAAGATAAAAGGGGTTTTGTAAGAAGCTTCTGTGTGTCTTGATCTTCTGCTGGCGAGAAGTGTCACACGATTTGTTGAACCAGCCATTGGACCCTGGTTTAGGCACTCTCACTGCTTGAGGGATGTATTCCTCCATCCCGACGTGGATAATTTCGGTTATGGAAGAACAGACAGCCGACGTGTCCGCGTCAGCGAAACAAACCTCTCCAACGAAAGGTAAAGAAGTCTCTGAGCCACTCCCAGTCGGCAGGTCCGTAATGTCAAATTTTGCGGGCCGGACAATTTTCCTGTGCCCGGGTTCTGATCGAAACCTAACCTCCACAGCACCGTGGTCAGAAAAAGATCCAGCAGGCTACTGGCATGTAACGAGACACGGGGGAAAAAAAGTAGAGCTCGTCATCAGCTAGGTCAGCTCTTGTCTGTTTCTGTAACATTTCATGCCTTTCAATCTTAGTTACTATCCCCTTTCAGAAGCACCTATGGAAAATGCGTGGAACTCAACCAATTTCATATCCAAGGATCTTACCTTAATAAACTACCTGGAAGAATCCTTACCCTGTCGCTATTTAGATTGTGTGACACTAGAATTTAGGAGAATACCAGATTGTCGGAAAAACTAACATGTATCTATTCCCCTCATTAAACAATTCACCACTGCACAGAGGAAGACTCTTCGCAAAAAAAAATAGTGGAACTAATTTACGGTGAACTAAATTGCAATCCATTTGTTGATGTCCATCACTCAATATGCAGTCAGGCGGTGACGTCATATGAAGATGATATATTGAAGTTAAAGATGCTCTTACCTATCTCTAGAATACGATCTACTCCTCGATCGCCTTTTCACAACACTGACCGACCTGCTTCTACTGCTATTGGAATCGCTTCTACTCCTCCGTCTAAAGGGAGACTTCGACCTTCTCGCCCGTTTCCCCTTGGATACCGATCTACTCCTGCTCTTCCTGGACCTTATCCTGCTTCCAGACCTACTTCTCCTTCTCTTGCTGTCCGATCTTGACCTACTACGACGTCTGTAAACTGCTCGCTCAGAACTGCGACTTCTTGCTTTTAGGTTGGATTTTACTTTATCCGCGTAGGTTGCAGTGGTTGGCTTGCTGCTGGACGGAGTTTCTTCTTCGCCTTTATGGAAAACGATGGTGATAATTGAAAAATAGATAGGCAGACAGATATTTACTCAGCTACACCACGTGTCAAAAACGCATTGCATTTGCAAAATAATGTCTTTTCAAATTAGGTTCATGATAGATAAGTAATTTAAAAATACAAATACAAAACAAATAAGACAAAAGGACACATGGAAAGACAAAGTACAAACATATCAAAAGGTGCGAAAAACTAAAAGCAGACAGCATAACACGCGGTATCGTAATCATAATTAAGTGAGTATACCTCATACGTCATGCAAAATGCAATTTGTTTTCAGTAAATCCTTGATTTTTACTTTAAATTGCCTAAATGTTAAAGTGCTCCAATCATCATGTAAGATATTACATAAATTGAGATTAGACAAGTCCTAAAAACAAATCAGGCGGTATCTAGGATATTTTAGGTAATGGGCTTTTCGTGTACTTATGGATGTCTTACACTGTGTAGACATTAAAAGGAAGTGGCATTATGCTGAATTTTTCAAATAGTGGCCTACAGTGTTCTATAGTATTGACACCCACATGGGTATTACGTATCTTGAAAAGTGATATACAGGGTGACTTCGAAGTTGAGTCATTTATTTTAACAGTGAGTAGATCTGATCAAAAGAAATGTTTTTTTCCTTTACCATTTTTCTGGTAAAATTAAAGTAACAAAGTTATAGCCCTTTGGAAGTTTGAGTACCGCCCTGTTCAATAATACTCGTAATATCATGTGCTCGTGTTTGGCAACAACGGATATAATCCGCCTCGGTTCATCGCATCGGAAACAAAAAAACGAAAGAATTTGGAACGATGTTTTACAATTATTTTCTTCAGTTCAGTTATACATACATTCAGTGTCAGTCGGTAAGGCGTGTGAATAGTCTCTGTTGCGTGGCTCAAACGAAATAAAAAATGGCACATTATGCGGATCGGTTTCCCAATCGAGTGCAACCAACCCCTCGTGCCTTTGTTAATGTAGTACAACGGGCTCGTGAATCAAGTGACATAAGACCTCACAGGGGACCTCACGATCAAATACAGGTCCGCACTGAAATACTTGTCGGGAGGATACTTTATAAAACAAGGTAAAATTTTTTTTTTATTTTTACACACATATTTTGGTTTATCTTCCTTCTACAATCATTATCTGAAAATTAATGACTCAACTTCAAAGTCACCCTGTATATATATATATATATATATATATATATATATATTTTTGTGATATATTATGTAGGTTTTTCTACAAGATGTTAACTTAGCACTAGCTGATGGATGGGTTGTGAACTCGTTTTGTAGTTGTACGTATTGCCTAAATGTCATGAGACTTCAGTTATCAATGTTTGACTCTGATGTGATGTAAAATCTGCTTCAGAGATGGCATTACTGGAGGATTTGTATGCTAATAATGTGTTGATAATTTCATTGGATTCTTGTCTCAAATACACTTACTTGAGATTCAAAGCTAGAACTTAGCTGCGCATACACTTTTTCTTACCCATTCTGGAAATTACATATGCAAATTTGCTGAATTTCAAAAATCAGAGAAATAATTATATTCACTGTACACTGTCGAATTACAAATGCTAACAGTAATTACACACAACGCGGGCGCGGTAATGATTTCTCGTAATTCTCCTAAAAGTTTTTGAAAACACAAAAAACGCAAAAAATCGTAATTTATGACTTTGAACATAACCTGTCTTCAGAAAGGGCAACATATAAATAACCGGTCGGGCACAGCTAATACATATAGTTCATTGGCAGCATATTCAGTAATGATTTTCTCACTCAGTGAATATCACCGATTTTATTGACATGCAAACCAATACATATAATTATCCAGATGCAATCTTGCTACTTAACCAACTTTCTTCTCAGAGTTGAAAACTACAGACTACTCGGCTTCACAAAACATATGCAACGAACAATGTGAACAGTGATGTATGGATACCATTTCAAATGCCTTCGACAACACCTGGAATGGCCTCAGTTATTGCATCAATGGTTGATCTTCCAGTTTGAAATTCATATTGACATGTGTGGTAACAATTTAGCAAAACTTAGACGCGAAAATAGCTGACGAGTCTTGCTTACCCCCAAAACTGGTGATGAAAGTTATTTTTCCTGCATTATCTGGAGATGGAGATCTTGATGCAGATTTAGATTCTCGTAATGACGTTGGTATTGTTGGTGATTCTCTAGCAGCATAACTTGGTGGACTCAGTACCCTATTGGCCAGGCGCTTTTCTCTATGATACCTAATATAATAAAGAAAAAGATCACAGCCAACGGAAAATGCAACAGTAAGCGCCCATTTATGCACACGACTTCAGTCTCGCTGTATCCGACAATGTAGTCAGATAAGAACACCCAAGGCGTTTTTCACAAAAAAATACTCATAAACAGTTACGTATTGACAAACTATTGATTTTTACAATTAAAGGTCCAAGATGGGCAAATAACAAATAAAGTGTATATAAAGGGTGTCTCAATAAGAGCGCTGGATTTGATTTTCAAGAAAAACTAAATTTCTTTTCGAATTAAGCGAGTATTTATATTTCAAGATGAAGAGGACATCCGGTAAATGGCCACCACGAAACCTCTGGCACAGGGTCAGTCTTTTCTTAAAATTCTGGATAACGTTTTCGCACAACTGTGGCTCTATTTCGTCGATAACGCCCCGTACCTCTTCTCTAAGCGCGTTCAACTGCTTGTGGCTTGTTCGCATACACTTTTTCCTTCACATAGCCCCATAGGAAGAAATCCATTGTCGTTAGATCGTACGATCTTGGTGGTCAATTTTGATCGCCAAACCGAGAGATGACACGGTCTGTAAACTTGGTCCGCAGTAACACCATCGTTTCGCGTGCTGGTCGCACCGTCTTGTTGGAAGAACATATCCTACACATCAATTCATCCAACTGGGGCCAAAAAACTGCGTTAACATTTCGCGATACCGCACATCATTAACAGTTACCGCAGTTCCAGCTGCATTTTCGAAGAAATACGGTCCAATCACTCCGCCACTCCACAATGCGCACCAAACGGTAACTCGCGGCGGATGCATTGGTTGTTCGATTATTACACGAGGGTTTTCAGAACCCCAAATTCGGCAGTTCTGTTTATTGACGTACCCGTTTAGTTGAAGATGTGCCTTATCAGAAATAAAGGTTTTTCTTCGAGAAATCAATGAATTCATCACGGCGCTGTGCATGGTCCGTTGGCTTGAGTTCTTGAGTCAGTTGAACCTTGTACGCATGCAAGCACGGATCTTTGTCAAAATTCGTTGCAGACTGGGTCTAATAAGGTGCAATTCTTGGCCACGATGCCGAATAGAAGTGCCTGGATTCTCGGCCACATTTTCCCGCACTGCGACTATATTTTGGAGGGAACGAACAGTGGTCTTCTCATTCAGTAACGTGAATTTTGTCTCAAATTTTGTAATTAAACGGCAAACTGTCGACTCATTTGGCGATTATTGCGACCGACAATTGTACGTAACTTGCGAAGTGTTTTCGCGTAGTTTTCTCCATTTTTGTAGTGAGTTTTCACAATAATTAAACGTTGCTCGTTCGAATATGCTCCATGACGTCTAATCGCGTGGTCTGGACATGACAGCTGATATCATGTAAACACCATAGAAATTGTACAACAAAATGGCGGCAAATTCAAATCCGGCGCTCTTGTCAACACACCCTTTATATACACTTGACTTGCGTACGTCCCCACGCGTAAGGAAGTTTCTTTTAAAGTCTACAACTTGTAAATCCATATCATCCATATCTGTCTGTATGTCGGTTTGATGTATTTTGGGAAGCAGATCCATTCTTTTAAAATGATTCGATTGACAGCGGTATTATGAGTAAAAGGAAACAAAACGATACAGACCGAAATTTTGTTTTCGCATGCTTTTACTTGGTTTGTACTCTTTGAAAGTTTTTGCAGAAACTTTTTTATAAAATTAACAAGCCGAAGACAATTCAAGTGTTTCGAAATTCTCTGTTTCTGTCAGTATCAGGTCTGATAGTAGCTGTCGTCTCACAGAAGTCCTAAGATAATTGAATCACTTAATTTTGAAAAGCACATTTCAGCTGATGTAGCTGTAATCTGAATGATCAAAAATAGGAAGCATGGTAGTCATACGATCTAGCACTTGTGATTTTATTGTTTGGCGTGCCTAAAAACGTGGGCGAGATTGAGGATAACACTTTACGCAATGTTTCCTTCACATGTCGGGGTCTCTGAGAACTGGGAGTCACATGTCAGTGATATGGCTGTTGCTATGCCGTGGACGTCGAGCATTGCTGACTGACTGTGCCACCCAACTCAAGCCGTGCATGAATGACCGCTAAAACCTAGACCTGTCATGCACACACTACCCCATGGCTTAGTAACCTATGTGTAGTCGTGACCAAAAATGAAACATCATACACGGGACCACATTTTAAGGGGGGTTTTCTATGTAATATTTTTTCCTCGAGGGGTGTTGAAGTTTAAAAATAAAAAACATTTTTTTAATATCTTCAAAACCGTCAACTGGAATGAACTAAAATTTGGTATGTAGATTTACCTAAGTATTGTCCACATTCAAACGTCTTTACTACGTGCACTAGTGGCGGAGATACAGGGGATTAGTGGCGTTATTTTTCCAAATAAAAATAGTACGCCAGTTTTGTTTTTCGAAACGCGCAATTTTTCGATTTTTGCCTTCAATTTACTAAAAATAATTACTCTTGTGTTTTGTCCTAGAGTGCACTGTTTACGTAAAATAAAACAAATTACTACTACCATTTTCTTTTGTAAAAGCCAATTCAAAAGCTTCTTTTTCCCATTTTTGAGTGTTGTGAAATGGGTTCTGTACCACAAAGGTTTTTACGCGTTCATTTCAATACGGAATTGCCAAACTTCGCAGAGTTAGAAGCATGGTGTCGTCCGGCATGCTGTTCAAGAGGAACTGGAAGTGATTCATTTGGCGTTGGATGATCCTAGTACAAGTACTACGCGGATTGCAGCCCAGTTACCGTGTTCCCAAAGTCTTGCGTAGAGAATTTTAAATCGGGAAGTTTTACATCTTTACCATCGGCAAAATGTGCAATGTCTGCAACCCGGCGACGAAGTGCAACGGCAACTTTTGTGAGAGGTTACTGCAAATGCAAAATCAAAATGCAGATTTAATTGATGAATCGCTTTTTACGAGGAGTGGAACTTTTAACTCTCATAATAAACATATTTGGTCGTTAAAAAATCCCCGTTCTATAAGAATCCACTCGTTTCAACACAGATTTTCTAGAAGTGTCTGGTGCATTTTCAATGGCCAACTGTTTATACACGTATTGCTACAAAGCTCAAATGCATACTCATACTTAGCTTTTCTAGAGAATTACATAGAAAATGTGTTAGATGATGTTCCGTTAGCAAGGAGAGTACGAATCTGGTATCAGCACGACGGTGCCCCACTGCATGTTCGTCGTGACATAACCGCATGGTTAAATAATCATTTTTGACAACGATGGATTTTTATTTTTAAACTTCAACACCCCGTATCTTTTTAACGAAGCCCACGAGAAAAAAATGTTACATGGAAGACCCCTCTTAAAATGCGGTCCTGTGAATGATGTTTCATTTTTGTCACGTCTTGTGAATCACCCTGAATACCTGCAGATTAAAAAAATAGTAAGACATGAGCAGCCTTATGGATGAGGAACCTAACATTAATTAAGAAGTGTCAATGTGTCATTTATTCCATTTTGGATCAGATGTCAGGGTCAGTCCATTGTAGCTTTAAAATACAGCTGGCAAACAAAATGAAAAATCAGCACAATATAAGGTAATGTAAATATAGTGGCCAGATAAAGTCCCAAATGTTGCATAGAAATATTTTCAAATCTTCAGGAAAGCACCAATAGAGAGACGTGCAAAAGGCTAGTTGAGACTTTTTTAAGAAGGTCTTAAATAGGTAATATTTGTTGTATTCGACAAAAAAATTAATACTACATTTTTTCAGACCTTAAAGACCATAAAACTTTAATTTAAAAATATTTTTTTCTTAGACAGGCGAACACGCTGTTCGCCATGTTTGACCCATATTGATGTTTACCATTTGTAAACAGCATCTGACAGCAGCATAACCTCTCAAACTTTCAAACATAAAAAGGACCTACTAGTTTACATGAAAAATATAGTTCTTGTATCGGCCGAGAAAGTAAGAATATATCGATAAAGACTCCAGGAAAGCTGTTGACTAGAGTGCCTAGAGAGATAAATATATGCAACACTGTGTATTTTACATTTTAGTGTGCAGATTTCTTCGCCTCGTTGGACATAACCTGCGGCATCATCACCGTATATATTAGATAAAATTATTCAAAGGTTATGCGCTTAATTTGTGTCGATTTTCGAAAAATTTGTGCTTTCCAAAATCCAAAATCCATCATTGTTATTTTTTCAATAAAACGAGTAAACGATAAATTTTTTACGTTGATTAGGGTTTTTTTAGAGATAATTGCAGAAAACGTTAGTTCACTAGTGACGTTTCTTTGTTTACAGTTTGTATGACGTCACATCATGGCCGATAGTGTTTTCACCATTTCATATTAAAGATGAGCAATATATTTTTTTCAATTGATATACCGATCTTGCGGTTTTGAAAATCGAAATCGATATATTTTGTTTTCCTAAGCCACTGAAAGAAATACTCATTTATTATATGAGTCAAGTACCCTATTGTGATTACAAAAAATCTCATTATATCCTCATCAATGATCTGTCAACTTTTGTGTCGCATATGATAGGTATATAGAAAATTCAATAATCAAGATAAATTTTGAAGGAAAGGTCATGTCTCACAGAAGTCACCAACATTGAAAACTTGGAAAACCATCTTAAAAATCCTTGTTAACCAAATAAAATAACACCAGCACAAAAAAATGACAAATCCAACCTCCTCTCCCTTCTAGATTTTCTTCCAGCATACAAAGCTTTCTCCTGTTCCTCTTCTCTAGCCAACCTTCGGTTTTCAGCCTCCTCCATATCATCAGTGAGAAAAGAGTAGAAATCATTAGAGTGCATTCCAAACTGTCTGCCATGTTTGTTCATATCATGAGCTTGTGCCGCGTCCATTTTGCTGACGTTCACCGAGAGGTCAACGTCTAGGTCGCTGCAGTCGGCGTCCGAATCGGAATCTTCGGCGACGTGATCCGAGTCGGGCTGTTCTGGTAGTGGAGCAGGGGCTGAGAAGGAATGGAGAAATAACATGCAGTCTACCACTCTCTACTTACTGTACATAAAGTGTATTATCAAAGGTCACCTCAACATGTATAATATTATTTTCTAAAGCATATCAGTAGCGTTCGCGCCAGCATGTACTGGGTGTCCCTTAAGTTTAAGGATAATCCTGGAACTGTAGATCGATCATGTCATGGTCTACTTGATGGTAAAATATTCTTGTAAAAGTCTTACAGTTCTCGGGATTTTTAAATTTAATTTTTTTCTGAAAACCTGGCTTATATTGTTAATCCAGCGCCATTTTTACAAATTTCAACTGTTTTAGACCAGGTTTGTTTTAAAACACTTTAAATTAGGCATCCCATCTCGTCCCGTATTATTGTTCCTTAAGGTGGCGGAAAACCCACATAAAAGTCATGTCAAATTATAAATTTTTATTATTACAACACCTTTTGCCAATAAGTCGAAAAAGTTGGGCAACTATTGGCAATTTTTAAATGGTATTATTGTTATTTGCCCTCTGCTGCTTTCACGATGTAATATAGTAAAATTTTAACAATCACTCTTCAAGTTTTTAGTCTGTTTCTGACTTACAGCTGTGTGTTTTTACAAATTTCAATGAAAGTACCATGGATCCAGCTTTCACCAGGCTACTAAATGTTCTCATCAACTAAATTAATAATAACATTTAGCAACAATCTCACATACTGTTCTCCTGATGATGATGATAAAGTTCATTAAAAGCTTGAGAAAATAAAGTAAAAAGATTACTCATTGCTTTGATGTTGTCGATGTACCCAACTAAAGGCTGAAGCTTTTCTCACCTATATAATTAATCCATCATCCTTCTTGACTCAGTTATCTGTAGTTCATCAAACTTATTCTAGTGTATTTTAGATAATTTATTAAAAAATTAAATACCATGGAAGTAGGTTTTTCAAATAACAAAATATAATGCTTTACCTGTTCCTTCATCATAGTTGAATCCAATGGCTACCCCACCAGTTTTTTGTTCTTTCTTCCCTTTTTGGTGATGTTCTGTGTACCCAAACTGCTCTTCCAACTGTAACTGCTTGAGAAATTTCTCTTCGCTTATTCCCAGGAAAGAATTCTGAGCAATAATCCTATTGGAGAAATATATTTCTCAACTGGTTTTGTGCCAATATACAGGGAGACAGGTGAATCAAGGCCAGTGTGGTGATTATAAGTAACCTATGGGTCTTAGCCTCTTATAACTGAGATACAGCAATAATAGAATTTGGCCATTTCTTTATGGGCCGATAACTTTTAAACGACCTGTTGTATTTTAAAAATATCCATGATTTAATAAATCACACCATTTAGATGGGTACCACCAAACCAATGTTGTCATTTACATTACCTGTGATATTCTGCTCATGTTATAACCTTCTATATGTTAATTCCTTCCTCAATAAAAATTTCCTTAAGTGAATATGCAACCACCAACAGTTCTTAATATGAACCTAAAAGTATATTTTTGTTGACCTAGATGAAGTGATTGATAAAATGACCTTCTTCCAAATTTGAATCTAATATGATCATATAATTTTAAAACATAAGTTATAAAATTGATATAGTATAAATTAATCAGCTTTGTACTTCAAAATGAACAAAGCCAGTATCTCCAGGTTTTACACAATCATCTGCTCAAATAACAAAACTGAATCATAAGGATGAAGTTCTGCCAAATTTCAACTAATCCAAACCTGTATACTTTTTCCCTTTTTATATCATAGTCAATTTAATAGCATATACTGACAAGAAATGGCATAAATTGATAAAACTCTTTGAATCCCAGTTATAAGAGGATGAAGAACTATCAAGTATAGGTTTTCTATGATGATCTCAGTGGCCTCTATCCCTATACAAATACTGAGATGGATTACAAATTACAGTCATTCAATAATGATACATTTTGTATTATAGTTCTACCAGAAATGAAATTTTGGTCACGATAAAAAATCATTAGTCAAAATTGTTAGCTTGCAAATATTACCTGTATCGTTCATAGTTCAGCTGTCTTTCCTCTTGGGAAAGTTCTGTTTCTTCTTCTTTCTTTAAAGGTGGAATATAATCCAAATGAGCTCGTCCATCAAATCTAAGGAATTGTATAATCACCATTACATAGAATTGAACCAAGATGTTAAGGTAGCATAATTTATAGTCTTATCAGTGCTACATTTCAATATAACAATAAGAGCAGATCCTCTAGCTGAGAAGGAAGCTCTAAATCTTTAGCTGAAGGGACAGTCCAGTAGCAGACAGTGCTCCAGTGCAACTAATTTCATCATACTGCATATAAATTGAGGAATTAAATAAAGGAAATTAAAACAGAAGAGAATAATCTCTAAATTTGATCTCACCTATCAATTAAAGTATCACTATTTCCTTGCCAAGGCATCATTACAGCACTATCTGCTGCAGCAGCTACTTGTGGGTCCAGATGAATCTTGCATTGTCTACCATGGACTTGCAGGAACTGAGTTGGATCTGCTTTCTACAGCACAAATTTTGTTATCAGACAAATGCATTATTATATATGTGTATCTTAACTTTAATTATATCAGAAAGCACTCTTAATTACAACATAGCATCTGATGGTTGGACATCTGGATGTCAGGCTTGGATATTTCAATTTTTTGTAGCCTTGCAACAACCTGGGATGTGATAGTAAATTAATATATACCTACAATTTTCTCGTAGAAATCTCTTCGTCTTTCAGCCCTTCTCCTGTAATCGACAAGCATTCCTCGAATTTTCCGTTCTTGGCGTCGGGCTTCGTGCCACATTTTGAGGTTGGAAGGAAAGTTTGTAAGAAAATGTATGTATTACCACTAGTAATCGTAGTATCAAAATATAAGTATTCCAATTAAGTATTTTGTACGTATTTTCCACAAGAAGAGTATCCAAAGTAATTAGAAAAATCAATGACAGACTTCCACTGCTTTCAAACATTACTGTGGTTCGCTGTCATTAAAATTCATCTGTCGTAAAGGCTGCCATTGCTGCCAACCACAATACACTCTTGGGGATGGCAACGATACATCGATGTATCGAAGCTAGAATATCGATCTTTTACAAGTTACAAAATACATGGAAATGGAAAAACTGGATCCGGCTCTGTAATTTGTCACGTTACCTATGAAACTAAAAAAGTCGCTATCAATCCGTTTTGCTAATTAATATGCCGCATTTATTGGACTTTTTTGTAGATATATTTAGCTTAAAAAGTTTGACAAAACACACAATCATGGAGTCCAGCTAGATGGATTGTATGGCCTCTGCTTTATATTTCCTATCTTCCTTAAGCTTAGCATTTGAGGTACGCTGAGTATTTTATTTCCTGCACGGGTATTATGTATTGTAAGAAAACCTATAACACGTCAAAAAACCCATAAAATGTCATCTTGTAGACTAGTAGTTCTTAAGGTGCAAACAGTTATTCCGTTTGCTCACTAGGATCGTTGTGAGCGTCCATCTATAAAGGAATGACCCAACTACACGCATTGTTGGTTGCATCTGTTTTGTGAAGCCTAGTAGTCTGTAGTTTTCATCTCTGAGAAGAGTTGGTTAAATATTGAATATCAAGATCGCATGTGTATGATTATGTGTATGTCTGCATGTGTATAAAATCAGTGATATTTGCTGTGTGAGAAAGTCATTACTGAATATTCTGCCAATGGAGTATCTATATATATTAACTGTGCCCGACAGGTTATTTAAATGTTGCCCTTTCTGAATTAAGGTTATGCTCAAAGTTATAAATTTCGCTTTTTTATGTTTTTTTTGTGTTTTCAAAAACGTTGAGGAGAATTATGGGAAATCACCACCGCGCCCGCGTTGTGTGTAATTACTGTTAGCATGTCTAAGTATGACTTGTAATTCGACAGTGTACAGTGAATATAATTATTTCTTATCTCTCATTTTTGAAATTTAGCAAATTTGCATTTGTAATTTCCAGAATGGATAAGAAAAAGTGGAAGCGCAACTAATTTCTAGCTTTGTATTTCAAGTAAATGTATTTGAGACAAGAATCCAATGGAATTATCATCAACACATATTATTATGAGCACATAAATTCTCACTATGCACCTTTGCATTGCCATTTCCTTCTAGCTATATTATACAACTTACAGCTTAGACCTGCAGTAATGCCATCTCTGAAGCAGATCTTACACCACATCAGAGAACATTGATGATTGAAGCATCATGACGTTTAGGCAACTACAAAACGAGTTCACAACGTGTCCATCAGCTAGTGCTAAGATAACATCCAGTAGAAAAAACTACATAATGTCACATAAAATAAATACAATTTAAAAAAAATCGACATTAGGTCACTTTGTAAGATACGTAATACCCGTGCGGACTGTAGGAGATATTTCTATGTTTTAAGGGTAGAAAGTAGAAAATTTCGAAAATGAGATATGTTTATTGGATGTTATATGACATGTACATCTCATCCACTAGCCCTTGACCCGTCTATAAGTTGGAACAAGTGTATTGCTCGGATTTGGATGAAAATTTCACACAAGATTAATTTTATGCCAAAAACAAAAAGGCTATGTAGTTTTTGAAAATCTGCCCAGTAGTAAACTTCGCTTTTCGATGTTTGTCCCAGTGAATATAGTGACGTCATAATTCAGCCAGTCAGCATTTTTAGGGCACTACTCACGTACGCCGATCAACAAAAATGACGTCATTATGACGGTCATTAGACAATGACTCACACAATTGACGTCGTTATCCATAGGCGCCATAGTATGTCATATAAAAGAGCAAATGCAAAGTCGATATGACGTCTGTATGAAGTGGTTATGACGTCTATCTAAGGTCGATATGACATCTATTTGACGATGATATGAGGTACAGTCTCTCTCGTTCCGAGACGTTGTTATATTATAAATAACAATAAAGTAGTTATTCGTATTTGGATATCTATTTTACGAGTACCTTATAGTTCATTAAAAGTATAGATTTTCTTTGTAGGTAAACGTCGATTTTTCAGTACTGAATGTCCTATAAAAGGCGTCAAAATGACAGCCTTTTCAAACGACGTTTTGTTGTCGTCATAGAAATGGTGTCAATAAAGATGTTCCTTTTTATCAATAACGTTTCCGACCAAAAGTTACCGAATAATGACTCCATTTTGGCGTCATCATGGATATTTTCAGAAAATTTTGTGTAGGGGTTAATACTGGAGGTTGGGAGTTGTAGAGGGCGGAGAGAGTATATCTCAATTTATGATGCTTGTATCTATGCTGCCAACCCCGGAAAAACTACGCATCTGTTTAGACATATTTCACATATATACTTAACCATACATTCTGCCATTAATTGTAAGAATGGCATAGAAATGTTATCGATACGCGTCTCTGGATCTGCCCTGCTCTCTAGATTCACCGGCGGGCATGCAGCTTTCGATGGGTGCCCTGCCATTACGGTCGCGTTGCCGCGTCTGATATGTCGTAATGTATGCGGGAGGTATGAAGGAGAGGCGATGTTGCCAGGTGGAGAGCGCTACCGGATCAGGTGGTGTGAGGAAAGAACGTCTATGGCTTGTATGACTGACTTGGTTCGTTTAGTTCCTCTGCCATGTATGTTTTTCTTAGAGGGTGCTGATCATAAGCTTTTGTGAACTGATGACGGCATTGCGTAGGAGGTGCAGAGTCAACTTACTTGATATCACTATTTCTCTTGTATTATCATAGTTAGATTAGATAACATAACTATTTCGTTTTTTCATGGTCAAGGAATTGAGAACACATTGTCAAAAGACAATCTCATATCTAATCTACTTACATTTTTTCACCAGTTAACCTGAGAAATCTTCGTTACTCACCTCAATGTCGGCAGTTCTTTTTGCGGTTTTTGGCCGGTAATTATGAAACTACAGGTATTATTTCCGTACATTCATTTCCCTCACACTTTACTAAATGACATAAAAATGCAACACCGACTAGGAGTGCGGTAATTTCGCGCATAGGTACTTTATAAGTTTTAGGTCTACTGATTTCTCAAAATAGCTGAGATATCCCACCTTAACGTTAATAATGTTTAAGCTCCTTTGTTCGCTACACATTCGTTAAGTCGTCGCGACATTGATTGGATTAGAGGTGATTGATCTCTTCTTGGTGTATTGTATCCCAGGACACATGAATTTGGTTTTGTAGAGCCTCCAATCTTTGTGGAGGTCTGCGACTCTAGGCATGATAATGCAATGAAAATTTAATAAATAATCTTGGGTGTTGCATTTTATATGTCACTTAGTATACATACACAATCAGCCTCTATCTGCGGACATCTGATTGTGTAATCTCTCAGACATAGGTTCTTCAGTTTTGTCCACATTTATACTTGTTACTGGCAGTATGACAAGCTGCTTGTCATAAGCGTGCCAGCTTACCTTTTGTGGATCTTCGATATAAAACAACAATGCGTGAAGATATAACTACGATGTCGACAGTCTGTTAAATTTGTTGCAGTATCTTCAAAAGGCGAATTACGACAACAATTCTCTTTTCATGTGTGTGCAAGAGCGAGTAGCAGCTTCGTTAAAAGGATGGCATGCGCAGTGTGCAGTGTTCGTTCGATTTTTCTCGTTAATCTGTTTCCTAATTTCGTTTGACATTGTGACGTAACCACCAAAAAACATGAAAAGAGGTAGACGATAATGTCAGTTAAAATTGTATTTTGTCAATTTCATTGTGACAGTTTGCCACTTGAACCTTACATTTCAAAATATTTTATAACGACTGAGGAGGAAGTAATATTGAGTACAGCTTCTATAGTTTTTATATTCTGTCCAATCCTTATTTACTCCGCTTGTATTTGCTTGAGTCGCTGTCTTCCTAGTCGTTTATAGCCTGCTGACAAATAGGAGCCAGCAAATTTGAATGGCACACGGTGATGTTTTGTTTTAGCCAGGAGTAAATGAGATTTGAATACACTTTAGGGCGGTTTTATGCTCCGTAGTACTATTTATTCATATAAGGCTCTCGAATTTTTACGAGTACTTCGATTGCTTTGTCTGTTTTAGTTACGATTAGACATACCTGCATATGAAATCAATTTAGAATGGCTGAAAAATACTATTGTTTCATTAACTATACTAAAACTAAACTTGTGATATAATTTTACACTTTTTATTTCTAAGGTGTTTATTAACGACTTCAATATTACATCCTTAGACATATTTTATAGAAATGTGAAAACATAATGTTCCTATTCAGTACTTTAGGTGCAGACATGAAAAAAATGTTTCCGTTGCATTGAAGTAACGCACGGATACACCCCGTAAAGGTGTAAAATATTGGTCGTGTTATTTATCGAATAGCATAAATTAAAACTGTCTACTACGTGGAGGTTATACTTCTTGATAAGGAGGCCTGACGTTCACTGGCTCTGCTATTGGTCAATGTAACGGGTGTGTAGCAATTTCGCTTTATCCACGTTCCAGTAAATAGTATTGAAAATGAAATTCATTGACTTTGCATAATACCGCATATGATATGATATGATATCTAGTATTGTGCAAGTTTCTCTCGTGTTGGGCGTTTGATGGCAAAATATGACAAAAAATAGAGAATAATGGACACATTTCGCCTTTAACTTCCCTTAGAATACATTGAAAATTAACGCTCCACTGTCTTGAAGGTGGAAAATATCATTATTGTCCTCATTAGCTCAAAAAATATGGAACAATTTATTATAAGGGGACAAATTATTTGGTCAAAACGAGAGAAAACTGATACTAGACGAGAATATGAGTTGTCTCAAGAAAACAAGCTGTGCCTCTATATTTTATTTGCGAAAAATAGGCTTAAAATTAATTTTTTATATTTTAATTGGGTTATTTTATCACTACGGCAATCAACGCTGGCTATTTTTTTAGTCATAAAATACCAGCAGATTAAATTCGAACAGGAAAATCAGACAAATAATCTTCAAGTTATTGCAATAAAACAGCCAAAAAATAGACAAATCATTATTTGCTTTCATTACTTTT